TGAACTCACAAGTTGTAAGTTAAGATACATCTACATTATTAACAGTGAAAACGTAAGGTTTTACGATTGTTTAGTTTTAATACAAAAGAAAATGAAACGTAAAGTAGTCTTACCAATTTTACTGCCTACTATAGAAACACAGATAACCACAACCCAGCAGATTAGATTCAGTTGTGAATAATAAAAATATCCCATCCTCATACAGTATAAACCCGCAGGAACTCTTCAGACGTATGTACACAAATTAAATCAGTCGTTAGAGTTTACCAAACATCAAGACATTTAAACGGTATGATTTAACTTCAGACTTTAATACTAGGCTTAAAGAAAATTATGGCAGCGTGCTTTTGAACACCTCTTCAATCTTCTTTACTTATGAAGAACTATTCTAACTCTCTCGCCATCACAAACGACACTACCAACTAACTATTCAACCTCTTTCACTACAAGGTTTTATAATGTACAAAACCCGGTTAATTCCTGAGACCCAGAGTATCTATGAAACGCCAACTCAGGCAAACATAGTATTTACTAATTTTGAGGAAGTTTGAATATTACTGAATAAGTTTCAGCAAATCAAATAAATAAAACAAAATTTAAAACGTAATACTAATATTATACGTGTATCTTCCAGTGACTCTGAGATATAAAAATTAAGATAATTTTCAACACTCGCATACAACATATTTGGAGAAAATATTGAATAACATAAAACCTTAAACGTTGAATTGTTTAAAAGCAAAAAAATAAATAATAATAAATAAAATAAATTCAACTTGATTGAATTTACTTTCTTTAAGAAAAATTGTCTTTAGGTAAGTAATATTGATACAATTAGTTTTGGTATTTATAATTTTCAAGCTGAACGGTACTCGTGCAACACGTGTGCTGATTGTTTGTTTGTTTTGAATTTCGCGCAATGCTATACGAGGGCTATCTGCGCTAGCCGTCCCTAATTTAGCAGTGTAAGACTAGAGGGAAGGCAGCTAGTCATCACCACCCACCGCCAACTCTTGGGCTACTCTTTTACTAACGAATAGTGGGATTGACCGTCACATTGTAACGCCCCCACAGCTGAAAGGGCGAGCATGTTTGGTGTGACGGGGATTCGAACCCGCGACTCGCAGATTGCGAGTCGAGTGCCCTAACCACCTGGCCATGCCGGGCCACGTGTGCTGATTAATCAGCTAAAGCTACACGTTCTGTCCACCACAGGGAATCGAATTCCGGATTTTAGCGTTGTAAGAGACTCCTAAGGTTCAGTCACAGACATCCCTTGTTGTGAATGCTAACCAGAGGGAGGACAATCGCTCACTAGCACCAACCGCCTATTCGGCAACTCGTAGTTGAATAATGGGATTAACGGACACTTTTACAACGTCTCTGGAGCTGAAAATATGGTTCGAATTTTGGACCTTCACATCCGCAGCCAGCACGCTAACCATTAGGCCACGCCCAGCCTATATGATTAATACATAAACTAAATATAATACTTAATAACAGTTTTCAAACATTAGCAAATATAATTAAATATTTGTCAATTCTATCTGGGGCTGGCAAAAGAACGTGAACCTTGTATCTTCACATTCACTGTTCGGCATATTAACTCTTAAGCCACACCCGGTACAAAGACCATGGGCGCGCCTTAAAATGTGGCCGTCTAAATCCCATTTCTCGATCATACAAAAATAGCTCAAGAGTTGGCGGTGGGTGGTGTTGACTACCTGCCTTTTCTCTAGTCTACCACTTCCAAATTAGGTACGGCTAGTGCAAATAGCACTCGAGTAGCTTTGCGAGAAATTTTAAACACACACACACACACAAATTCAACTCTAACTAAATACTTATTCTTCGTTGCCGTATCATTTTTTAAAACCAATTCTCACACAAAAGTGGTTTAAATTTCTTTGAAATACACAATGTATTTTCCGAAATAGAATACAGCAGAGGTAGTCGGTATCCTCAACCCCCAATAATAATTGAACCAGAACTGAACAAACGCAAAACGCTACATGTGCTCCTTACACTTGTTAAAATCACATCCATACTCCATCTTCTGATGATTGGGTTGTTGATATCGAGGTTTGTTGGTTAAGAATATGTAATGCTCGAAAAATTAAGCCCACGGTGAGTCAGTGGTAAGTTTATGAACGTTATAATAGGGGGGGGGGCTCGATTCCCCGTGATGAACAGAGCGCAGATAGTCTATCATGTAGCCCACGGTGAGTCAGTGGTAAGTTTATGAACGTTATAATAGGGGGGGGGGGCTCGATTCCCCGTGATGAACAGAGCGCAGATAGTCTATCATGTAGCCCACGGTGAGTCAGTGGTAAGTTTATGAACGTTATAATAGGG